CCTGTCCCCATGTCCAGGGTGACTCTCCCCAAACCTCCCCCTGCTCTCCCAGCTGCAGACAAGGGGACAGGGTGTTTCTAGAATTGCCTGGAAAGAACTAACCTGAAACCAGTGGAGGTACAGTATCATCCGACAGCTGGAAGTTAAGAGAAAAACTGGGTGCCTGGCAGTTCCCTGTCCCTAGGGAGCACCGTCTCAGTGTACGTTTACTTTTGGCAAGGCTACCTTCACCGTGGACAGAGGGAGAAGATCAGGTCTGGTCCCCACTATAAGACAAACAGATTAGCAACCGCATCTGAAAAACAGACTTTGACATAAGTATCGCTGTAAGAGAAAGTCTCCTTATGTTTTAGACACGGCATGTCAGTCTGCTGCAAATCATACGAACAAGTAGAATTTCTAACAGGACACCCCTCCATACTGAGTGCCATTTCCTTCAAAAATACTGGTGACAGTTTGAAGGGCGTTTCACAAAACTTAGGAAACTGTATTTATGCATGCACATGTGTATGCAAGCCTAATACAAGAAAGAAATGCTAATCTTTCCAACAAATCAAGAAACTGTTCTACAAGCCAAATCTATTTTAGTAAATATGATGAGTGCGCAGGACAAGGGTGGTAAGGCACAGCCCACAAACTGCTGCCTCATCCAGCCAGAAAAACGGCTTCACCAATATCCCCCTTTTCCTTTTGGGAATGCTCCCTGGTCCCGGCTGTTCTCAGGATCATGCCCAAGTACTGCCTGGAAAGTGTTAGTTACCACAAGCCAAACCTGTACATACAAACAAACAGGGATGGGGACATACAAACAGTTAAGTCATTCAGCCACAGCCCAAGTACACACACTAGCCATAATTAGACTACAGATACAGACACCCTGTCTTAGCTCTGGGGTACTGGGATAGGGAGAGAACCTGTTGGGATAACTTAGTGTTGTTACTATGCAGGAATTCAAATCCTGATACAGGTTTGAATATAGGATTTTCTGATATCAAGTAACTCAGTATCCTTTCTTCCCTCTGCACAGCGTCACATCATTTAGAAGAAAATAATGTTCTAGATGGATATTTTCTTCCAAATGAAGTAGATCTTCATCAGGTGATTGTATTGCCAAAAGCAGAATGGGAAAGGATTCAGGGCAATATTGGCAGCAGAACTAGAGAAGCAGCACGCATCCTTGCTGAGAAGAAAGAACGGGAAGAAATGCACTTACGCTCCAAAGCGGCTGTAAAAGACTGGCCCAATACCATTATGGTAAGTACAAGATACATTTGTAAACAAAGGGATTCATTTTCATATATGCAAAACCACCCATGGTAACATTTCTAGCTGTACTCCCTTTGTTTAACATTTGCTTTTAAATATGTATTTTAATTAAACTCCATTTAAATACATTTAACATCTAACATCAACATTTAAATTTTTTAATTAAAGCTAAAATGCAAAATTAAAAAAAACCCAAACATTGAGTACATCACCTTCAAAATGGTTTACGCGTTTTTAATCCATGTGCTTTAAATGTTATTTCTACTTTTATCTGCACTGTAGGGCCTGGCACAACGGAAACTTAAAGCCAAACAATTACGTGAAGAAAGGGAAGAGGAGGAAAGAAAGTTACTTGATTTGGAAGAAGAACAGTTCCAAGCAGCAAAACGGAAGGAAGCTATTGATAAAGCAAAAACCTACCTATACTATCAGAATGAAAGAGTGAAAGGGTTGCATGTTTGTTGACAACTTATAATTTTTAAATTGAAATTGTACTGAATTTCTTTCAGTGTTCAGACACTTCTGAACATGCAAATTACTTTAAATGTTCTCTTGCAGAGTGCACTTCTACTTGCTGAGGTCCTAAAAGAAAGAGATGCTCAAGTTGAATTTAAAAAGTTAAAGTCAGATGTTAACAAAAAGAAGGATGAAGAAAAGGAACATGAACGTAAAGAAACTATTCTCAGAGAGCAAGAAAAGGCACATCAGCATTATATGAATCAACAGGCACTACGCAGAGATCAGCTGGAACAGTAAGTAATAATTAATCAAAAGTAACCCTACTTTATTATTTACTTTAAACTCTCTTCTTGCAAATACATTCTATAAGGTTTTTACAGAAGCTTACTAATAATTTGATTCACAAATGGGACACTTTAAAAGACCACAAAAGACACAAAAGACCTTGCACAAAAGGGAAAAGCTGTGATATACAGTGTCTTTTATTTGCCAAGTCTGCATGTAAAATCGCCTCTGGTAGGCATCAATAGGTTTTAGTCAAATCACTATTCAAAAGTTGTTACTGAAAGTGTATTTTAACTCAGTTTTGGTCCCAGAAAAGGAAAAGGTTAAACCAGATTTTCCATTTGCCCATAACTAGATTCCAGAGAACACATCAAGAGAACGCATCACTGCCACCTCCATTCTTTCTCTCAGCTCTTACAGAAACCTTATGGAGGGGTCCCCAATGGTATTTATAGGACTGGCCCTGGTGGTCTGATAGAAGAAATCAAATGCCCTGAGGCAGAGGAAGGGTTCAAAGTCTGGTCTCACATATTCCAGGTCCAACACATAAACCCTTGCAGAACTTGGTATAGAACACTACTAGTTTAAGATGTTGCCTGCATGCCCAGAAGGAGAAGCATAGATACGGTGGGACTTACTGGGGAAATCTTGTTCACTGAGGATGCTGCGGAGATAGGCCAGAACGTTACGAATGCAGTGGTGCTAACGGGTCATCCAGATAAAACTTGTTACCATTAGACTGTGATCTGTGAGCATACCATAGCTGATTTCTGGTCAGAGGATTGAGGGTTACCATTACAAACAATGATGCTATTTTTCACCTCTGATATTCTACCCACCTTCAATTCAAAGTATTACATCCTTCAGTGCAAGGTACCTATGGTTATGCAGAACCCCTATCTGTTCATTACTTCATGTGATCCCTAGCCCATTTATTCAACTCCTTTTTCTGATTCAGAATAAAGGAGCACAAGCATCAGGCAGATCTGGCCAAGCTAGAAGACAAAAAGGAAGGAGAACAAATACAGAGATTGAACCAATTGTACCAAATGGAAATTCAGAGAAGAATGGAAAAGGAACAGGAGGAAAAAGTTGAACGCCAGAGGCTGTATCACGTAAGTAATGGGAAAGCAGAGTTCAAAACGCTTGTTTCACCTTGGCTGCCTGGAGTGAAACGATAGCATTCATGTATCTAACTGGGCCTACTGGCAACAGGAGGTTCGCTGACAGCTTGAGTAGCATTGGATCATATGCTACGGGATCATATACCCTGCCAGTTGCAGGCCATGTCTTTCCTCTATGCTTTTGAGAAAGGTCTCTTGGAGGCAGGTCCCTTCTCTTGGCTGAAGGGACATTGGCACCTGATGCTTTGATGTCTATGATTAAAAAGTTTGCTGTAGACATCAAGGAATATTCTCCTTGACTTGAGAACTGGATTTAAGTTCCACATACCTACTGGTTTAAGCCCATTTTTCTTTGTTAGGAAGAGCGAATAGCCTGAGTCTGAACATAACAGTGTCTTTTTAACTTGTCTTTCCCTTTATGATTGGAGAGGTTTTGAAATTTAGTCAAGATGTGCTGCCTTCTCTCTTCACCTTTAAAGGCATCTTGCTAAATGCAATCTAGAAACGCTTCAGAACAGTTCTGGCCAGCATACAAAAGACAGTTGGTTTTTTACATAAAATTATAGAAAACTTTTCTTCAGCTATGATTTGGATTAAGCTCTCAGACTGGGAGCACAGTCTGTGTATGTGTTGGTGGGAGCTGCACAGTCCCATTCCTTTCAACATCCCCCTCTCCCACGTGTGTGAATGGGAGCAAGGGATAATGCTCACTACATTGCATAGCAAATTGTTTGTGTAATGGGCTGGAGAAGCAGCTGTTCGATGCTCAATTCCCCTTCTTCCTCATATCTACTATCTCCTCTTTGTGGACGTTTGAACAGGGAGGCAGAAGTAAGTGGAAGTACTGAGAATCCCTTTCCTCTCTTATTTCTTTGAAAGAAACACTAAGAGAGAGAGTAGGGAGTGATTCTTTTAAGTTGCTACCCCAGGCCCAGATTTTCTATACTTCATCCGTTATCTGGGGACCATTTTGCCCATGCAGGAGCATGTAACTGACCAGAAAATGATCAAAGCAGTAGAGGAACAAAAACAAATGGAAGAAGATGATCGGATTAAAGCTCATTTTAAAGCAAAGGAAACTATTGCCAAGCTGGTAAAAGAGAAAGAAGCTGAAATGCGTAGGTAGGTACAAAGCTAGAGTATAAATTGTAAATAAACTAAAATTTATACTGTAGTCATATTCAAATCTTTCAGACTGATGATGTAACACAAACTACAGTTATTCTAAAAATTAAATTCTACTGATAGGGAGAGTAAAGAATTCAGGAGAAGAAGGAAATTCTTTCACAGGTTCCTTAGTAATAGGTATGTGCTGGAGCGATCTCTCTGCCCTTCAAAGTACAAAGACTTACAGAAGTGCAAAGCTCTACACCAGTGTGTTGGGAACAGTGATTTTCCATATGGCCTACCAAGCCTCCACCTCCTCAACAATTAAAAACAATTAAAATCCTTGATGAAAGTATTTCTGGGCATAAACTATATTTGCCTGAGTCAGATCAAGAAAAATAATGTGACTTCTTAACTAGGCACCTATATTAATTAATTACATCGGGTTATTATTAAGGGAAGATGGTTTACCAATTTAACAGTGAGGGTACAGCATGTAGATACCACTGAGCCAATGCAAGAGCTCCCTTCTCTTCCTGCTTCTGGCCAACACTCCCTCCATTTCCCTCCTGATGGCAAGATGCTAGGCAGACTCCTCCCAAGTGATCCAGCTCATTATTGCAACAGAAAGCTAGTGTTACAAGAATACAGGGAACATTTATTTGCTAAATCAGATAATTTAAAAAAAATAAAACAGGAGGAACACAAGGAGATCAAGGAGTTGGGTGGGTGGTCTGGCCTGTGTGGCAAGTGGAAAGAGTAGAAGCAGGATTGCTGAGTTTGGTAGCAGTAATGCTTCAGGTAGACCCAGGTGTGTACCCTGGTATGTCATGGTAGCTCATGTTCTTCTGCAGACTAACACAGGAACATCAGGACAAAATCGTTAGCCAATTAGCTGTACAAATGAATGAGGCATTAAAGAGGGAAGATGATCATCTTGCTAGAGACATTGCAAAAAAAGAAGCTGAACAAGAAAAAAAACGCAAAGAGAAAGAAGCAAAAGAAAAGGCAGCCATTGAATCTATTGCTGAACATAGAGCCACTGTGGTAAGAAACCTAGCCTGTTCTTATTCCTCTGTCTGTCATATACTTGTACTTCTGAATACCTTTTAGAAACACCATCGATTCCAGCACAGTTGTCTTGAGTGAGACGCACATGCAAGTTCTCACTTAGCAGCTGCCTCTCGTATTTATCATTTATAGATTCAGAACTAACTCCTTAAGAAAGGTGCAAGTGGTACATGTGATGATCCTCTCTCAAAAAATTAGAGTTGGAAGGCTCTAATAATTGTTGGTAATTTGTCCAAACATTTTCCAGACAGATCTGCTGTCCAACCGAGGAGCCTGGCCCAGATCACAGCTGGTGGCTCTGGTGCCATGCACGAGCATGCTTCATCAGCTCCGCTGACATCTTTCCTGGGGTCTTCTCTCCCTCTCCCGCTTCTGTGTTGGGCGCACATCTGCCAGGGCTGCTGAAAAGCCTGGGCTTGGACACTGGCCAGCCACAATGACTGTGCTTATCAGAACACTGATACACGGCTGCTTTTGCTGAAAGATATGACTTTCAAACTAGCAGGTAGCTCCTTGGTTAACCTTTTTTATTTATTTTGTAAAATACAGATGAAGATGAAAGTGGAAAAGGAGAGAGAGGAAAAAGAAGAGGGTAAAAAAGAACTTAATGAGTTAATGGAAAAGAACCGCATCTACCTGGAAATGGAAAAAGCCAAGAAACAAAGACAACGTGATGCAAACATGGAAGTACAGAAAATTCAGGTCCAGCAAATGGTAAGCAGAGCTGTACCCTGTCAGCCCCTTCAGAAAGAAGCACGCATCTAAACCAACAGCACTAGCTCCTGCCTGAGAGGAAGAGAGGGAGAAGCAGCTTGCTGTGTTTTGTTTGGGGCTTTTTGTTTGTTTTTGTCTTTTTTAAATCATGTATGCTCCACAGTGCATACAGAGCAGTGGTGCAAGTCAAGGCTGGTTTGCAATGACAGATCACATCCTGTCCTGTACCATTATGTACCACTACTGCTGCCCTCTTGTATCTTCTGGGCAGGTCACCAAAGAGCAGCAGCTGATGCTGATGTTCACTCAGCTATTCAACGTACCCTTTTTGTGGGGGGTACGGCAGGGGGGAGAAGTGGGGGGGGGTGATATTTGCCAAGTATCAAAACCGCAGATCTACTGTAAGCTTTTACCCTCTCTAAGTTTTAACGGATAGTTATGTTGTGAAAGAAATACTAAGCTTTTTTATTCCCTTTTCTTCATCAGGCTGAAAAGCAGGCAAAAAAACAGCAGGAAAAGCAAGCAGATTTGGACTATGATGCTCAGAGAGAGGTTATTGCACTTTGTAAGGAACATGAATTTCAGAGCTATGCAAAGCAAGTAATTGAATCAGAGTCCAAAACTACACATCATCTTTATCCTCTTCTCAAAGCATCCAAAGATGGAAGAGGACTTGGACATGGGTCATTTTCCAGATGAAGAGAAGGAATAAATACTAGTTTTCAAGCACAGGATGGTGCTGGGACCCAGTTACCTTGTTGTAGCTGTACTACTGCTCAAGAAGTTAAAAATAAGAAATAATATTGAGACTATCCAGCAAGGAAAGGCAGAAGCAGTTTTCATTGGTCAAAAAAAAATCTTTTGGAACCTTATAGGCAGAGTTAAACTGTGAATGATCTACATCAAATATAAGCTATGAATCTGGAAGTCCATTTGAAAAAAAAAAAATTGCCAGAGGACTGGTTATATTCCCCAAAATCCCCAGCTTGTATTTAATAAAAGTTAATTATGTAACACATTCCAGCCAAAAGCTCACTATTACTGTTATATTTTTATTATTCATGATTCTAAAAATTCACTGTCCCAGGATTTTTTTTGTTTTCAGGCCCAGGATACAAATTCCCAGCGCAAAAGGTCACATTTTTCACTATCCCACTTCCAGTTAATTATTCCCCATAATAGAAAAAAACAAAACAACACAACTTTACAGAATCTACAGAGGAAGAAAAAACAACCTAATACGTGTGAAAGTTAGGATAGCTATGGTACTGCAGTTTTTATAGCATTTTGCAACTACCTCTCTAAAACAAATGTCACGCTATAAATTAGTTATATATATGAAAATACAAATGTGATTTGATCACAGCCCTTAAAAGGTCACCCAGGAGGCAAATAGGTCCCAATATAGCTGTAAATAGCTCCTACCAAAAGAGCATGGCAACAAGAACAACATAGTTGGATTGTTCTTTCAAAAAGACTAACAATGATTCAGTCTGCGGTAAACAGATCTGGATCTAAAATTGTTTCTCAGATTCCGCAGCTGACTTACTCTCCAACACCAAAGTCGCACATCTCACTCCTTAAGCTTAGTTTCTTTGCTGAAATTTTACCATCATGTTCCTGCCTTGGACAGAGTTAGGATTTCCTGTAATGACCTCCTCCACGAGTATCCTGGGCTCTAAACAGGGTATCCCCCCTATTCTGGGGTCCACTGAAAACAAAGAAACTTGAAGCTTTGCTTTGTTGCACACAACCTTCTGTTCCAGCCCCCCAGCCACCAGTCTCTGTTGGCCAAACTAGAAAATGATGCAAGTTCTAGAAAAAAAAAAAGAGAGTTTTATACAAAGGACGCTTGACAATATTTTAGTTTGTAAAACGGGTCTTTTGTGTGCCTTCAAGGTTTTAAGCCCGGCTTCTGATAGCAACAGGCTTTGAAGAAAGCACAAGTCTTTGAGAAGATGGGAGGCTACACTGGAGGCGAGGTCCCTCCGGCAAGCTGAGGGCCAAGCAGAGCCGGTTTTACCTCTCCTACAGTGTAAAACAGCTGGATGTAAGATGGATGTACTTCATAAGTGCAGCAGTAACCTCCTCGGGGAGTCTCTTTTGGAAGGAGGGGGAGAACCGACCTCCTCCCTCATCCAGCGCCAAGGGCCTTCCTCCGGGAAAGCAGCGCTCAGGGGACACCTTTTAAGGTCAGGTAATGGATAAAGGCGAGTCTCCAACAACCCCAGCTACAGGCAGGCCTGGCGGGGCGAAGGTTACGTGCGAGACGCAGCAGCCCACAGAGCCAGGCCGAGGCAGAACGCCTCACAACCGGCCGCGCAAAGCAGTGGCAAACCAGCGGAAGGAAAACCCGCCGCGGTCGGAGCAGAAAGAGAGAGGTAGAGGGGGGCGGTACAGCCTCTCACCGGGTACAGCCTCGCTACAGGGTATTTCACGAACGGGCTGCGGAGGAGGGCGGCTCCCGCACGCGTGCGGCCGGC